CATCTCACCTACTTTGGTCATATTGTCAGAAAGGACCATTCCCTGGAGAAGGATGTCAGGCTTGGTAAGGTGGAGGGTCGACAAAAGATGGGAAGGCCCTCAATGAGATAGATTGACACAGTGGCAGCTGTGATGGGCTCAAGTACAGCAAGAATAATGGAGCTGGCTCAGGACCGGGTGGTGTTTCATTCTGCTGTGCATAGGGTTGCTAAGAGTTGGAGACGACTCAATGGCACCTAACAACAACAACAACAACACACGAGCCTTAGGCTTTCTTCATTTTGTTTTGATCCTTTTTTCTGATTGATCACTTTCCAAGGAAGTATTGAGCTATTTGCCTTCAATCTCACTAATTCTGTCTTCCATTGGTTCTATTCTACTTCTTTGCCCATTCAATGTCTTATCTATTTCTAAAAATTTTACTATTAATCTTCTGGATTTCTATCTGTAGATTTTGTATCATTTTCTAATTTTTCTTGTATCTTGTCATTTTGTTCTCATATTGTCTTTCGAAATTGTTCTAGGGTTTTGTCTGTGTTTTCCTCGGTTTTGTAGTGTATTCCTTGATCTGTCTCTCAATTCATTGAAGATACCTAAATATAATTCTTCTGAATTCCTTCTCAGGGAGTTCCAATGCTGCGTCTTCCTCAGGGATGTGTTTTGGGTCTGTATCCTGGTTCCTTGTTTCTCCTGCTTTATCATGCTTCTTTGTGTGCACCTTAGTGCTCTATTGTGTCTGAGGCATTGTGATGTTTTTGTATTTATATTTAATTGGTGATTGTATGTTGGAGTGACTTTCTCACAATTTTGGTTTCCTTTGTTTTGTTTGTATGTTATCTACAGGCTACTGTGCTGTGCTCCTCTGTTTGCTAGTTGGAAGCACTCATACACTCACCACTTGTCTCCTTTTCCATTGTCAGCCTCCCATATGTCCCTGCCATCCTTGGCAAACATAGCCTATTTTTAGGTCCTATTTTTGTTCCGGTTTTTCCACTAGTTGGTGCCTAATCCACTTCTGTATACTTCCTTTCAAAGCTCAGGGCTCCAGATTATTTTCTGTATCTCTGTCAATTGGTTTCTCTTTTCTTTGTTGAAGAGGGTCTGTGTAGCTTGTCTGCCTGTTTCTCCATCTTACTGGAAGTCCAGTCTGTGTTCTCTTGCTGAAGACAGAACAGTTCTTGGCATTTTGTACCTCAGTGGGCAAAAGAGGAATATGTCTGTCTTGATGGGGTGCACCTTTCCACTGCTGCACCTCCTGCACTGCCATTCATTTCCTGGACCCAAGTAGTTACCTCACACAAACGTGTCAGGACATCTGCTCCCAGCTCCAATTGATTTCCCTTCTGGAGAGAGGGCTCTTCTGCCAGATGTGGACATGGCCAATGTAATGCACCTCACGCGTTTCCATGGTGCGGCTGGAATCCCTTTGTGAGTGTCCTTTCATCACTGTGTCTACTGCTCATCTGTGTAATTCTTAAGATTCAATGCTGAAGCCTGTTCAGGTGCATGCTCTGTCTCCTTTTGAATTGAGACGAGTTTCTTAGACTGTCTGTGACACAGCTGTCTCTTCTATGTGGTGGGAAGACATCTCTCTATAATGGGTTCTTATATGAGTTAATTCATGTCAGTCTTTTTGAATAATGCTTAGCACAGGGTGAGTGTCCAACATTTTTTCCTGTTCCTATTACCATCATCACAGTTTTTTTGATACTAACTTCTTTTTGAAGCCATGGTGAACTTTCTCAAACCTGAAGACACTACTCATGCCCCAGGTCATCTGGGACCTCAGTGTTGCTGGGTGTGCAGAACAGTTTTTGACAAGTTGGCATACATGACCCTTTGGCAGTCTTTTCACTTCCATGATTCTTTTACTGTCTGTAAAATGTGATTGGGTAGATTTCATGCACTCTGGTGGAATAGTAGGACAAAATAGAACTAAGGACATATAACTTACATAACATTACTTTACATGGATCTGTCACAATATTCACATCTTTTTGATTTTGACATTTACAATTTTTCCCTTGTCTACCTGGTGAGGTGTGTCTTTCATTACAGGGACTGTTGACATTCAGGGATGTGGCCATAGAGTTCTCTCAGGAGGAGTGGGCATGCCTGGACCCTGCTCAGAGGACTCTGTACAGGGACGTGATGTTGGAGAACTACAGGAATCTGGTCTCCCTTGGTGAGCACAACTTCCCTCTAGAAGTCAGGGTCTCCCCTTGTGAATCTTGATGTTTTCCCCTGTGAGTCTCTTGGAAGCCCCTGCCCTGCTTGATGTACTATGATTGTTATTATTATTATTAGTAGTAGTAGTAGTAGAGCATATACCCCACACATAGGAGATTAACACATGAGGGGGTTGTGGGTGTGCTCATTATTGGCATAAAAGTATGGTACTCTGAATTCTCTATTCTTAAGACACAGTTGCTGCAATGATGGGCTCAGGTGTAGCAAGGATTGTGAGGCTGGTACAAGACCACACGGTGTTTTGTTCTGTTGTACATGGGGTCACTATGAGTCAGAGGTGACTCAGTGGCACCCAACAACAACAGAGACAATGAGGTTGATTCAGAAATGGAAGCTTCGTCGTACCGTGTCTGGACTTTACTCTTCCTACTTCAGATGATCTGCCCAATTCATGTTGGAACATTGCTGTTTTCAGAGCTTGAGGAAGCACAATGCCATATGGCTTCCTTTATTTCTTTAAATGTAGTTTATTAGTTTATTTTATTGGTGAAGGAAAACTTGGTGATAAAACTTTATAACACGTTACCTAATGCTGGTGAAGGATGAAGTACTTTTCTTCCTTTATCTTGCCTAATAAATGAGTAATGCTGTTAATCTCTTTTACATTAAAACAGTTAATTGTAGATTTCCAGAAAGCTTAAAATTTTAATTACATAAATCTAGGAACTATAGTTAAAATGCATACGTGAGTGTGATACTTGGAGCAATGTGTCGACTTGGCAGAACCACAATTCTGTGTGGTTTAAGCAATTGTGATATGCTTTGTTCCAATGATGGGATCAGATGTATATGTTTTGAGCAGTCAGTCCGTTGAAAGGGAGTTTCCCTAGGGGTGTGGCCTGCTTCCAGCATATTTATGGGCATCCTGGAAAAGAGACACTCTTCTGTGGATCAGGATTCTATTGTGCTGCCTACAACTGTGTGTGAGCAAACAATCCACCATTCGGCCTGGAGATCTTGGATTTGTCATTCGTTGGCGTCAACAGCCGGTATACTGCCTGCCAACCTTGAGCTCCTCAGCCCCTGCAGCTGTGTGAGTTGAGAAAAGCCTCCAGCTTGACGTTTGATCCAAGAACTTTGGCCTCGCTAGCTTCTATAAGTGTGTGAGCCATTTTCCTAAGATAAATTTCCCTTTCTCTCTCTCTATAAGCTTTACTGGTTTTGTTTCTCTTGAGAACCCAGTCTAACACAGTGAGTAAACAGCAAACTGGATTCTTCTACTGGAAACTTCTATTAAAATGTACTTAATTTTGTTGTAGAGAATATACACATCAAATACATATGCCATTCCAAGTTTCTGCCTGGACCTTGTAGCTTACCTTTAATAGATCCAGCTCTGTGACTTGCTGTCTGTGCTTCGGATTCAATAGCTCATGGGAGAGAGCAAGTATCTGCGTGTTTAATACATTCCGTCAGCATCTGAAGGAGGCAGTCGGTGGATGAACTTCTGAAATAATCTCCTAGAGTCATCTGTGAGGTTCTAAGCTGAACAGATGGCTGGGATTTTGCTCTGGAAAAGCTACAGCCTATTACATTCCTTTTCTTATAAGCAGGAATCTCTCCTTCCCAGTGGAGTGTTATCTCCATTCTGAAGACAGGAACAGAGCCCTGGACGTTGGACAAGTTGAATATAGCAGACGCCCCAGGTAGGTGGAAATGTATCCAGAAGTGAACAAAGGTACCAGCTCAGATGGTTAGAAAAGAAACAATACCAATACATATTGTTTGGGAAAAACCCCAAATGGGGAAGACATAAGTTTATTTCTTCCAGTATTCCAAAGGAACTTTTGTTCCTTACTCTCCTTCCTGGCCCCTCCCCTCGTCACTCAGATTTGTAAAGTCCATCCTCCAGTGGTGGTCCAGCTCCAGCAGAGACAAAGGCAAAGTCTAACATGACCTACATCTATTATATGGTGCCTGTGAGCTTCTGGGAGGCTTGTCTGAGAGGGACAAGGTGGATGTTCTTGCCCCCTTGGTTTCTTCTATACTTGATTCCATCTGGTCCTCAGTTGTCAGTTGATACAGGTCCAAGCTGAGGCCTCCATTGTCCTGAGGAACCAGTCTACCTCCCTTTCTCCCTCCCCATATTGGGTGACTGTCTCAGGAGACAGCAAAACGGTGCCAGCTACTCCACTGAACATGGGCTTTCTTAAGCCCTCCCTGTCTGTTCAGGCCCCTGTTAGACGAAGAGCTCCACTTGGCCTTTGCCTTTGATTCCTGAAAGATAATCCTTAGAATTCCCAGAGTAGACATGAAGATGCCTTTTTTATCAAAAAATGGCAGGAAACATTATAGAATTTGTGCATATGAGTGGGGCTTACACAGACACCACCTTATCACTAAGCTCAGAATGGGCGGGCCTGTGACCCTACCAATCATGACTATGCAGTGAGGCTAGTAAAAGGCTTTGAACTCAGAAGTTCTGGGTGCCTGCTGGTTCTCAAGAACATGTTCTTGGGACGATTATCCTTCCCTGGGACAGTCCCTAGAGACACCAAAGCCTCATCCAGGGACCACTCCCTGTCTGAGCTTAGCTCAGAGCCCTTCCTAGATCTGTTCCTGTGTCTCTTCATTTGTGTCCTTTTTTGTTCACAATGTGGTAGCCGTAGTGTGCTGGGAATAGTGTCAGACCTTGTCTGACTTCAAGTTGAGTGAGAATCACCATCAGGATCAGCCCCAACGTGATTCCTATGAGGTGGAGGTCAGATGTACCTCCACTCTCAAACCTTGGCCTATTCTGACACCAGCCATGCCTGCCATGGCACTGTGTATTTCTCTGTTCTCTTCAATAATTCGATGCAGTAGCCACACATACACAGTATTAGGTAAACTCACAGACAGTACACATGGTTATATGGTTTATTAGGAAAGTAACACAGGCTAAAGATCAGCAGGCTACAACTTGAGACCAGTAGGCAGTCTCCCTTGTTTGTGTAGGACAGCTCCCTTAGCTCCATTCACCCGTGCAAGCAGGCCTTTCTGTCTGCTGTGCACAGCCCCTTCAGCAGTGCAAACCTCATCTCAGCCCCCTTAGAACAGTCCTCTCTTGGCTCCTTGAGGACAGGCACCTTGGTCCCCCCTGGGACAGGCTCCTCTCAGCCCCATCAGAACAGACCTCCTGTTGGCCCCTGCTCTGTTCAACAAGTGTTAAGCTCTTTCAGCTCCTCACACGAGTGCCCAGAGACACCCTGCTCTACCAGCACCGTAAAAAGCTGACTCCTATGACTTACCTCCACTCCCAGGTTTTCACGAGTTGTGACCCAAGCTGTCCCTCTCTATTTCTCTGCTGGGTTCAGTACTTTGTTACAGTGGTCACACTAAGCTCACAGATCATACTAATAGCAATGGGGTTTGATAGGAGAACAACACTACAATTCAGGATCAGACCTAACTTGGAAGTAAAAGGAACAACTCAGCATACTGTTCTTTGATCGGGACTGGCCCACAGTCTCAGCCTTGACCCACGCTTGGGCCTGGCTTCTGCTGTTCTGGTTTCGAAGCTTTTTAGCTCTGCCGATAAGTGCCCAGAGGCACCACAGTCCTCCACATGCCTCCTGCCCAACAGTGTTCAACTCTCTCATTCCATGGTTGGCAAGCCTCGTTCCCCAACATGTGTCCAAAGACCCCTCACTCTGCCAGCAACCCAGCAAGCCTCCTGCCTAAAGGTGCTTAACTGTCCCACTCTGTGGGTCTGCACATCCATCACAGCTGCCTCTGTGGGCCGGGAAGACCACTGCACCTTCCCGCGCTGGTCTCCCGGGCCTTCTATTGCTGCCTCCTTCCCTCTGGATGGACTTGTGCTTGCTGCCACTTCTCACTATCTTGCCCCCTCTCTGGGTCACAGCTCTCTGTCTACTGGGTCTATTAAGTTCTCAGGGCAGGAACTCTGGGTCCAAAGAACACACTCCACTCCCGTCTCTTCTCACTGGTAGTGAGGTTCCCCTCAGTCTCTGGTATGGGTTCCTTTTAAGTGGAATGGCAACACTGACCCTACAAGGGTTCCATGCACTTTATTTGCATTAGAAAGCTGTGCAGTCCTCTGGGTGGGCCGTGAGCATCCTATTTGCATGGTCCTACCAAATCATTTTGTGGCAGTTGTAGGACCATGGCTACAAGGGCTATATGGTAGCAGTTCACTCCACTGCACTGACAAACGTTACTTTTCCCATTTAAATAGAATTTGTTGTATTAGGAACTTTGGGAATCTTTGGAATATATATAGCCTTTGTGTTAAGTGACTCTCTTAATCTGACAAATATATAAATTAACATGCCATAATTACAACGTAAAATAGGTTATTTTTTTCCATTAAAAAGAAAAAAAAAGTGCCATTGAGTCAATTGCAACTAATAGTGACTCGTTACAACATAGTGGAACTGCCCTATGTGGTTCCCAAGGCTGTCAGTCTGTACAGAAGCAGACTTCTTTCCACAGAGCAGCTGGTGAGTTAGAAGCACCAGCCTTTTGCTTAGCAGCTGAATGCTTTAACCACTGTGCCACCAGAGCTCATTGCTTTTTCTATAGTATATTTTTAGTTTTCTAAGCATAGCTTGTTGGGTGCTTGAATAATTTCTTTCAAAAGGATCAGCACAAGGCTGGTCCCTAGGAGGCAGAAGTTAAAGATGTCTCCAGTGTCCATCTTCTGCAAATCGCTGTGCCACTCCGTCATCTCTGATGGACCCTCTCCATCATCACTTCCTCCTCCTCCACCCCTCAATACTCTCCCTCCTGTCTTAGAGTTCCATATTTCACAGAATTCACAAACTCTTGAGGAAAAGGCTCACATGACGGTAGTGTTTTCCACAGAATTAATAAAGGTTTGGAAATTTCATTCTTCACATTTGAAAATTCCATTCCTCACATTTGAAGACCAACATATGTTCCTTGTTTTTCTTTCAAACTGAATTTAGTATAACATTCCCTGGTCTTCTTGGCTCACCTTCCAGTGCTGTCTTGTTTTCTCTGGCCGCTGTTGGCTGCTTATGTTGCTGCCCACCATGCTGTCCAGTAACTTCTTCCATCAGCCTCAGTTGAACTGCAGGAAAATGTTTCTACACTTCTGCTAATACCACCCTTCGGTACAAGCATTCTGCACTTTGGTTAATATAGTTGTTCACCCACTGAGGGTAAATCACTATATGACTTTAATATTATGTATACATGGAGTGTGAGATTTCAAAAATCTCTCGAAAGACACTTTTTGGTAATTGCACAGACTATAATTTTGTGTTTTTGTGTTTGTTTATGTACACACTGGATTGTTCAGGCTTTACTCGATTGTGTTGTGAATTAACTTTCATTGTGATTTACAGAGGATTGTTTTGTAGTATCTGTTATGGAATATAACAACCTTGAACCAGTTGTTAATGTTCCAAATGCCTATCTTACATGAGTACAGATACTTTTGTTATTCTTAAAATAGTGTTTACTTGAATTTTTTCCTTACCTATCCATGCTTTTTGATTTTTTTAAATTCTGAATTGCCTTTTATTTATTTGTTAGAAAACTTTATTTAAAAATATTTACCATTACATTACATACATCTGAGCTTATTTATTTTCTTTTTTAATGTAAGACAGCCACACATCTTTGTCACCTGTGTGTGCTGTAGAATAGTGGCCATCTCTGAGGGCTTATGTGTTTTTACATAGCGTAAGTGGTATGGGCATAGGGTATTTGAAACTCGGCTCCCCTAAAATCATCTGAATTACATGAAATCATCTTATCTTTATTGAGGAATCCCATTGATTTTCTGTCTCTGATCACTTGAAGGCTTCTGGGTAAAACTTTAAAAACTCTCATTTATAAGTATCTTGTTGATAGAAAATGACAGTTTTTGATATAAAATATTTTGCAACTGGTTTTAATAGGAAGCCTATGGTTCTTTTTTGTCTTTTAGATGTTTTTTCTAAATCTGTGATCAAGGAATTATCACCAAAAGAGATCGTTAATAAAGGAGGCTCATTCCAGAGAGTGATATTAGAAAGACCCGAAAGTCATGGCACTGAGGATTTTGACTTCACGTAAGTCATGGGAAGTGCACGTGAGTTTCAGCATCAGAGGAGGGATGATGAAGGGAATGACAGAGGAGTGGGTACAACCCATAATGAAATTCTCAATACCTTTTACAGTGCCCCAAACCTCACTAAACATGGAAGACTCCGTATTCAAAAGGAACTATATAAATGTAATGTATGTGGGAAAGTCTTCACTCAAAATGGACATCTTGAAGCTCATCTGAGAATTCATACAGGAGAGAAATCTTACAGATGTAATGTTTGTGGCAAAGCCTTTAACTTTGGCTCAAACTTGACTAGACATCAGAGAATCCATACTGGTGAAAAACCATATGAATGCAACATATGTGGCAAGATATTCAGTCGACACTCAGGGCTTACAACTCATCATAGAATTCATAGTGGAGAGAGACCTTACAAATGTATTGAATGTGGTGATATTTTTACCCAAAGATCAAAACTAGTAGAACATCGGAAAATTCATGCTGGAGAGAAAACGTACACCTGTAATGTATGTGGAAAATCTTTAACTAAAGTCTCGCACTTAACTAGACATCAGAGAATCCACACTGGTGAGAAACCATATAAATGTAATGTATGTGGCAAGGTCTTTACTCGAAATTCAGGCCTTATAACTCATCAGAGAATTCATACAGGAGAGAGACCTTTCAAGTGTATTGAATGTGGGAAGGCATTTATCCGAAGAACAAAACTTGTGGAACATCGAAGAATTCATACTGGAGAGAAGCCTTACAAATGTAATGAGTGTGGGAAGGCTTTTACCCAAAGAGCAAACCTCATAGACCATCAGAGAATTCATTTGCTGCAGAGACCTTACAAATGTCATGAGTGTGGCAAGGAATTTAGTCGCCCTTCAGGCCTTACAGCTCACCAGAGAATTCATACTGGAGAGAGACCTTACAAATGTATTGAATGTGGTAAGGCATTTATCCGAAGTACAAAACTTGTGGAACATCACAGAATTCATTCTGGAGAAAAACCTTATAAATGTAATGAATGTGGAAAGGCTTTTACCCAAAGAGCAAACCTTATAGAACATCAGAGAACTCATTTCATGTAGAGACCTTACAAATGTCATGAGTATGGCAAAGCATTTAATTCTGTCTCACACCTTATTAGACATCAGAGAATCCATACTGGGAAGAAACCATATAACTATAATATATGTGGCATAGACTTTAATTGGAATTCATACCTTATAATTCATATGAGAATCCATACAACAGAGAAACCTTAAGGTAATAAGTGGCTAAACCTTCAAGTGGGGCTAAAAACTCACTACCTACTCCCACCAAGTCAATTCTGGCTCATAACAACCCTATAAGACAGAATAGAACTGCCCCAGTAGGTTTCCAAAGCTGTAAATCTTGATGAAAGCAGACTGCCTTATCTTTCTCCTGTAGAGTAGCTGGGGAGATTAAAGTGCTAACATTTTGGTTAGCACCTGGATGTCTTTTCCACTGCATCACCAGAGCTTAAGTCAGGCTAAGTCCTCACTAAACACCAGAAAATTCCTGTGGGACTGAAATAATAAATGTAGTCTATAAGGCAAGGTCGTTGGTTAAGATGTGCAACTTCAATCATTTGAGAATTGATTCTGGAGAAAAGACTTACAAAAGTTTTATATATGGTAAGCTTTTATCAAGTGTTTACACACTTGAGGTCCACAGAGAATTTATACCAGAAAGAAACCTTCTCAATGTAAGCAATGTGGTCAGTCATAATCTCATGATATATTACCATATTTTTCATAAATAATGTGTCCACACATACAATGTGCAGAAATGATGAGATTAATTATAGGCATGCCTATACTGTTCGTTCAGTTCTGGACTGCCACAATAAAGCAGATATCACAATTGAGTCATGAATTTTTTGGTTTCCCAGTCAATATAAAAGTTATGTTTACAATATACTATAGTTTGTTAAAGGAGTTCTTGTGGCACAGTGCCTAAGGCATTTGACTGCTTACCAGAAGGTTGGCAGTTCAAACTCACCAGCTGCTCTGTGGAAGGACGATGGAGCAATCTACTTCCAAAAAGATTTACCTCCTCGGAAACCCAATGGGGGTTGCTATGAGTTGGAATCAACTCGATGACAGTGAGTTTGGTTTTGGTTTGGTAGTCTATTAAAGTGTACAACAGCAATATGAAAAAGTTTAAACTATTATGAGACTTCCTAAAATCAGACACAGAGACACTAAGTGAGCACATGCTGTTAGGAAAATGTAGCTAATAGGCTTGCTTTGCTCAGGGTTGCCACAAGTCTTCAATTTGTAAAAAGTGCAGTAAAGTTAAGTGCAATAAGACAAGGTGTGTCTTTAAAACAATCCTGGCATACTGCTCCCATCCGTATACTACACATATCTTGTGAAATTTCCAGAAGTGAATTTCTGCTTCATTCATCCATCCTCCCAAATTCCAAGTAAATCATATCATTCTGTTCATTTTATTTAATTTCTTGCTTATGTGTATAAAAATAGTTTGAAAATGTTACTTTTGATCTTGATTACACAATAAAGGAATAAGCCATCGTCAGGAAGTGATGGATCAAATTGGGTAGTCCCTTGGTGATCACAAAATAAACAATCAAAACTATACATTTGTTTCTGTTAATTTGATAATTACAGTGTACAAGCTCAACAATTGAATGTAAAAACTTGATCAGATTGTCTTTAGTGAAACCATTGGGTTGTATTCCAAAACCTATTGTCATGGAGCTGATTCCAACCCATAGCAACCTTGTAGGACAGAGTAGAACTGGCCCATAGTTTCCAAGGCTGTCAGTCTTTACAGAACCAGAGCCCAAACCAAACCCACTGCTGTCAAGTCTATTATGACAGCATACCTAGAGGACAGAACAGAACTGCCTCATAGGGTTTCCAAGGCTATAATCTTTCTCTATGATTTATCTCTGCTGTGCTTCTCATTTTTCTCTGCCATTAGTTCCCCTTCTGGGCCTCTCACTGTCTTCATTGTTACAGCTCTGTCTTCTGGGTCTACAAGGTTCTCAGCACAGGGTCAAAGGACTCACTCTCAGCAGGACCACAGACTGAGCACTCCGCTCGCAGACTTGCAAGTCAGACAATCCTATTGGCTGGATTTTCAAATCACTATTTGAATTGCAAATCAAATACCTGCAATATGTATAAAATACAGCAGTCACAGGGCAGACTGTTAACCAAGCAATCATTTGTGCCAATTACAAACCTGGGGCCAGAAGGGTCATATTTAAGAGAAAATCATTGGAGTGCACCATCCCACATCTCTGTTCCTGGTGGCCAGCCACTTCCACAGCTGACACTAACCACACAGGGTTAGTGCATCAGCGTTCATCCCCACAACCCTGAGCCAGGTGAAAATATCCCTTGTCACATGGTGCGGTGCAGTGAATTATTTGGTATGGCTTTTCTAGCACAGTCTCTATAACTCCCACTGGATTACTGGGTGTGACTATACAAACAATGTGTGTAGAACTCTGATGTTGGGATTGGTTAGTTTTGTCACTATGCCAGGCTTAAAATGAACCCTGCTAGAGACAGAGAGGGGGTCTCGCTGCCATCACGAGAGAAGAGTTGGAGGTGAAGTGGAGCACATCCGTGGACCCAAGCTCCCTGCACTGGACCTCCTTGGCTGAAAGACACCTTGGCAGAAAGACACCCTGGGAGAGATGGTGGCAGTGGAACTAAGAGGCATGACCCATGGCTGAGGGCCAGACAGGTGTGTCTGAGGGCACAGCAGAGGGGACACTGTCCTGATCAAAGAACTGTATCCTGAGCACGTTCCTGAACCTGAATCGTAGCCTGTTACTGTGAGTTCTGTGTGGCCGTTGCAACGAGTTAATCGAACCCAGCAAAGAAGTGGTGAGTACGGTGGGAGGGACGGTTGATGTCAAAGTTTGTAAAAAGGCTGGAGGGTGGCGGCATGTGTGTCCTCAGAGGAATTCCCGATAGGAATAACCCTTGGGCTGCTGATAGTGCTTCTGTCTTCCTCTTGTGAAGTTAGAGGAGGTTAGAAGATGCTGCCTCTGTGAACTTTTTGCACAGGGCTAGATACCTGAGACCAGCCATGGATTCAGGAGTCTGCAAACTGATAATGCAAGGTAAGTACTTAAAATGGCAGCTTGCAATTCATTTGAGAATTCCTTCTGGAGAGAAGCCTTACAAATGTTTTGTATCTGGTAAGCTTTCATCAAGCATTTACACACTTGAAGTCAGAGAGAATTCAGTTCATCCAATCTTCCCCTCTATCCTCTGGTATTAAGTCACAAGGTAGAAGGACTCTGTCTTACAATTTATCACCTATAATATGCAATGATCGACTTTACCAATAAATACAGATTTGAGAAAAATATGAAAACATCGCTACATTAATCAAGAAATAAAAATAGAGACACTGGAAATGTATAAAAAGCTGTTTTACACTTGGAAGAAATATCAAATCACAGAGGGAATATATATAAAAAAAAAAATCTCACTGCCACTGAGTCGGATCCAACTCATAGTGACCCCTCCTTGGGTTTCCAAGGCAGTATCATTGTGGAAGTAGATCGCCCAACCTTTATTTTTGTATCCAGGATCAATTGCTTATTTTCAAGGGGGAAAAGTACTGATATATTACCTGAGGGAGGGGCACCTAATAAATAAATTTTACTTTGAAATTATAAGGCAGTAAAAAAATATATCCCAGATATTTTAGGAAATGTATTTTAAGGGCAATTTAAGAAAATTTCCAGCAACAAGTAGTTAACAAATTCTTTAAACTGAGCATTTTTTTAAAAAGAATAAGACATCTTCCAGCACTCTGTGAAGCTCATATAACATGATTTTTAAAAACAGTGAAAATGAAATTTAGAATAATTCATATTTATATCAAAGACAGAGAACAACATAAACTATGCATTAATAATTTTAATGCATTAGTATGGTATAGCCTTACAGAGAAGACAAAAAATTGCTAAGTGGAGTTGTTCTATGAATGTGAAGATAGTTGAATTAGGTGGCTGTGGGCAAAACAATAAGGTGGTTAAAACATTTGGCTGCTAACCAAAAGGCCGGCATTTTGAACTCATCAGCCACTCTGTAGGGGAAAGATAAGGCCGGCTGCTTCCATAAATATTTACAGCCTTGGAAACCCTATAGGGCAGTTCTACTCTCGTCCAAAGGGTTGCTATGTTGTTGTTGTTGTTAAGTGCCGTCGAGTCGTTTCCGACTCATAGCGACCCCATGCACAGCAGAACGAAACACTGCCCGATCCCGCACCAGCCCCAC